TGTCTTTATGTGACTCACCATGCAGAGAATATGGTAAGTGGGATGGAACCAGGAAAACCTGAAACCTAGAATTAAAATCTAAAAGATATGATTTCATCTGATATTGGCTATTTTTGTTGGCTTTTTCCATCACAGGGCTGGTGAAATAGAGATCATTCTTGATAACATTTCCCTATCATATTCTGAATACCTTATCTGGTGTTGAATAAATGACCCTAGATTTTGAGTTGTCTGGTTCAGCTTTGACATAGTGGCACAAGTAAAGGAGGAATCAGAGCTTTTGAAATCAAAAAGCCTTTGTGGAACTGAGAATGGCAGTTCAGATAACATGTGGAAAATGAATCCCATGGGGAAATTAAGGTTCATTATGCAAATATGTTGGTTTCAGATAGATTACGCAATCTGTCTTTTTCTCTCTGGCTAACCTGTGGGAAGTCTGGTAGAGCATCTGCCACTGCAACCACATAATTCTTCTTCCTTCACCCCCCTGATTTCTCAGTCGTGTCATGACAACTTTGTACTTCAGACTTATTTTAGTCTGGCTTCCTCACTTCTTCTATTACTACACTGAGATGCACCAAGGCTGTTCCTGTTCACAAGCTTCTCAGCCTAGTTAATCCAAGATGTCCCTATTTGACATGTGGGAGTTCTCCCCTTCTCCTCTCTCTATGCTAATCCTCATCATCATTTCTTTTCATGTTTCTTGCTAATTACTGATGGGCTCTGCTTCTCAGCTGAACAGGAGTTTTTCTCGAAAAGGATGAGTGGAGGACCTCGTGAAACCACATCAGCAGTGTGGGGTTTTTTTGTCAGCTCATGATAGTATAAAGCTGTAGGAAGTGTAGACAACACTTCAAAAAATGGTTTAGTGAAGATGGTCAACCATGGTGCAGACTGTCTGGGGCATTGTGGGATTTCTGAGAATATGACAGGGGAAAAATCATCAAGAATTGTCTACATTTCACTGGTCCTGTGATGGAACAAGTGGTGAAATAACCAATACCAGATGAAATAGTAACTGAGATGCTAAGTGGTGTCTACTGCACATGGTACCATGTGGTTTCGCATAGTAAACACAGAAGAAGCCTCAGAAAACCTGCCTCTTCCTGGCTGTAGTAAAGTCTTTTTTTCTGCTATAGAGAAGACTTCTCAGGGCATTGCAATGTTTGAGTCCAAACTCACGAAATCCATGACTTACCATAGAAGAAATCAGACTGTGCCAGTGACTCCAGCTCCAGCAGTAAGAAACGAGGAGGAAGTCTGGACACTCAAACCCAAAGCATGAAGAAGGAAGAAAATATTATGGCTTAATTCTTAAGGGGACAGAGTGACTTTCCACCTCCAGATTATGGGTGGAGGGAGTGCACCCCATCATCGACAGATGGGGAAAGAGCCCTGCCTGAAACTGCTTCCCAAAACCACTTCTCCTCCTCCTACCTTATAGCAGATGTATTGCTAATATAACTGCAGCCTCTCCCAAGGGACCCGGCGTACATATGGATCACTCGCCCAGGCACGTTAGATGATGGCATCACGTATGTCATCACAGCCCACACACCACCTTCCCCACAAAAGGAGATGCTGGACACCTGATGTCCTCAGATAGGTCAGACGCAGTCATACGTTTCTCCTCCTCACACTGCTCCTCTTGGAAAAAGAAAGTAAACCCATTTACATTCCGCATATAAGCTGAAAAATCTCACTGGACGCCCTCATGGTTCAGTATACACATACATTTGTCATCATCCCCCTCCTCCCAATTATTTTGGACTAGCCCCTTCCACAACAGTTACTACATTATTCCTCCAGCTCAGAAAAGGATGCTGCAGATTGTGACAGTTGATTAATTTGACAGCTCCTTTCGTAGCTGTAGAGCACCAAAAGAACCCAGTGCAAAGGCATTTGAGGACAGACTCAAGCATACACAGTACTTGACGTGTATTTATATTACTGGGAATTTGTGAAGATTGAATAGCCTTTTTTTTTCAGCCGAGCTCAGACTGGTAGGATGGTGTTCATCTGACAAAGTGCAAGCATCTATGTCTGAGGCAGACAATGAGAAGGAGCAAGTCCCTTTAGAGAACAGTTTGTCTCACTCTACTGCCTATATGTATGTGTACATTTAGTTATTTATGCCACATATATATATATATACACACACAGAGATACATAGATATACATATATGTATACAGCCTAAATGACTCATGGTCTGAAGGCACCTATTTCTCTGCACTGACTTGAAATGATGCCCAGACCAAGCAGATTAGCTATAGATGCTTATATGGAATATGAGAAAGGCAAAATATGGTGAATCCCTTCCTTGTAATTCAGAAGGCATGAGATCTTAGTGTAATTAGAATATATGTGTCGTTGTTTTACCGTATTTGTGTTGAGTTATTCTCACTCCATAGCCTTGATATTTATACTTCACATAGCTTGCTTTTTTTTTGTTGTTCCTGTTGGAAGAGGAGTTATTTGTGCTATGTATCTTTATAAAGATGGATGTGTAGTGGTCTTTTACATGCTGTCATTTTGTACAGGAGCAAACAACAATCTGTATTTACGCAATAGATGACAGGTTTTCACACCTGTCAGCTGCTCCGAAGGCTGCCAGCAGTGGCACTAAGCTCTTCTGCTTCATTCAGTCGATGCATGTTACTTATTTCTAACATACCTCTGTTAAATGCTGTGGTTAGGCTGACATGGTTTGTCCTGCTCAGGGAATTTCACTGGAGAACGCTGGTATTCCATCTGCTCCTGCCATGCACATTTTTATGCAGGTAACAAGAGCAGAGTGATGTGTCTCCTACCTCTCCAGTGGTTTTCTTCTCCTTTGCCTGGCCAGTTTGGCTCAAGCGCTCTCTCTGCACATTTCAATGTTGTTTCTTGGAAATTAAGGGAGATACACTGCTGTAAGGGACCTGTAAGCCATAGTGGGTTACAGACTGGATAGCTGTTACGGGGTTTAATTTTCCTATATATTAATGTCTACATAGAGAGTCTGAACCCAAGTCACCTCCAGCAAAGGAGATGTGTATATATATATATGTACTTCATCAAGAAGCTGTAACACTCAGTTGAGTTGTACTTTACCTCTTGGTAGGGCATGTTGGCCTTTGGGGGAAATGTTTGTGTCTGAGGCTGAAGCCTTCAATACCACAAGCAGAGAGCAAGTAGAAATCATTAAGACCCAGTCTGGAGTAAAACATCACCACTGGAAGAGGCTGTGGCCAAAGGGGCACCGTCACTGCTGTGCTTTCTTCACGGCCTCTCACTTGTTTTACATGAGATGTGGAGGTTGATATTTTTATTTTGCAGACTTTGATTTTTCTCAGCATGGAACAACTAATAAACTATAATAAAAAATTGTTCTTCCTGCTTGAAAGGTGACTTGTTCTTCTTGCCGTGGATCTAAACTTTGAAAAATACATGACTTATTGTCCATTACTCTCTTATTTCAACAAAAAGTATGACAAACTCAGGAACGTGTTGCAGGAACGTTTATTCTAAAGACCTATGCTAAAGCTCACATCACAGATACACTATCACAGTTAACCTTTAAAATGCAGGAGAAAATTAAAAATACTTGAGCAAGAGGATCTCTGGCAATGATGGAAGCAATTAATAGATTTTTACAGTCATACTCCTATACCATGGCCAGGAAACCAAGTGTGAGAAAATGTGTTTTTCCAGGAGTCTGCAGTGTAAGAATCAGCCTGCACATTGCAATGCATCTTCATATGTGTCTCCACGTGAGCTGGTCCCATCGCAGTGGAGATAAGAGGACTCTAGAGACACTCAGCTATCAAGTGAAGGTGTCCATCCCGGCTCAATATTTTATTCAGACCCCATGGACCATGTCAGTCATTGACTCCATTGACTCTACTAGGAGTTTAGACAGCAGCCCGCAACAAACACTTACAGACTGATCTGGTTAACTCAGGATAGGTATCAGCCATGATCTGAGACACCCAGGGGTGTTGGAGGCATCTACTTAGGGCTGGAAGCTACCACACAGGGCCTATGGGAGGCCTGTCCTCCTCTGCACTGATAGCTGGAAGCCAAACAGCACCATTTGTTTGTGCTCAGCCTGCAGAATTTCCCCCATGTGTAAACATCTACTCTAAGACATCCCAATAAGTGACCCAATCCTGGCCCTAGAAGTCATGAAGACTTGCAGAATCTGCCTCTCACCTCTCTAAATGCATTGCTGAAAAACCTGGGGAAAACATTCCCTGCCACCCTAAGACAAAATGATTTATTAAGTTTAAATTTAAGCCCTTTTTTTTTGATTGCAATGCCAAATAGAAAGCAATAGTAAGTGGGGATCTTATGCACATGTACTGTTGGGTGGCCAACAATGCCCCATGTCTTAGATAGTAGATAAAAGGCAAGGTTGAGAAGGAGCGCATGGAGGCAGTGAAACAGTACAGATCAGTCGTGGCCTTCACGCTGCGGCTACCTACACATCTTCTAGATTTTTGCTTTTTCTATAAGAATAACAGGGCAAAGATGTGCTCACCTGGGGAGTATAAAGGCGTGTGAGCAAAGACTTCAGGACTCCAGCAAGCATCAGCTCCACCAGTCACTTCCAGGTCTCTAATTTTCTCATTATTTTTTTTCCTCCAGTCTTCCTGCAGAAGAGATTCAGGGCAGACATTCCCTAACTAGGTTTCATTTTTAAAGCAACCATACCCATACCAAACATGACCCTTTCTTGTCAAGAGACTCTAGAGGTGTCACCCCAATTGTGGGGAGGAGGGTGCAGTCCCTGGCTGCAGGGCCAACTGCTTCTCCATAAATGGTTTGAGCCTCTGGCAAGAAACAGAACTGGTTCTTCTACCCTGCCAACAGCCTCCACCTACCCCCACCTTCCTAACACAACCCTTCCAACCATCTGATCCGCCACCAAGACCCAGCTGTGCAACACTCAAGAAGTCCAGCTAGGATGAGGACTCCCAGATCAATGCTCAGAGCCCGGCGATCCTCAGAGAGGCTCCTGGGGAAATGTCACCGTAGGTGTCCCCAGGAAACCTCCCACTTCCTCAGGGAGGCTGGCGGCGACATCGTCGCAAATTGCCGAGAAAGATGATTTGGCTCCGCAGGTCTGGGGCGGGAGGTGGGTATCATAACACCCTGCTTCAGCGT